GGCTCCTCTGCCCCGTCCCCCAGGAGGGAGCGTGTTTGGTTGGTTGTCTGAGCGGAGGGGTCCCCTTTTGCCCTTTCCCCGCGGGGTGTTCGTGAGGCAGACGCGCGGCAGCGCGACCTCCCGGGCTGCGCCGCGTTCCCCTCGCCCTTCCCCTTTCCTGTGAAGGGTCACGTTGCTTCTTCCTTCTCCTCCTTACAGACAGGCAGTGAGAGTGGGTTTCTCCCCGCAGCCCCACGACGAGAGCCAGGCGTTAATTCCCCTGGACACGCAGGTGCCGAGGCCTCCCCGTGCGGGGCTGCGTGAGGGGAAGTTCCCCCCACGCGTGCTCGGGGCTCCGAACGAGGGGTGGTCACTCCACAGTGAGGGGTAAAGCCCCCCCCGTTTTGCTCGGGACAGGAGCCGTGCGGGGAGGGGCACGTTCACTGCCACACACGCCTGTTTGGGACCAAACCTTGAGGGGAAATCACCCCCGGTAGTTGCTGAAGTTTGTGCAATAAGGGAAGACGCAGAGAGGCCCCTGGTGATGGGCAAACCTGGCCCTGTGCTCGTGGGCTATGAAATCGTTATTCTTGGGAGCCCTTCCTCACACGTCCCATTGGGGTCTCTCTCTGCCTGTTATCAAGGCTACAAAAGTAAGCAAATCACATGATTTATACCTTTTTTTTAGTGTTCATCCCCACTCGCAGCAGGGAAGCCCGTTTCAGGAGATGGAGCTTTTTCTCTTGTTTCCATGTTTGAGGAGGCTGGGCCTAGGTATAGTTCTTCTGATGATGGATCAGCCTCCTCTCTTAGTAACAGCCCCTCCAGATGTGATTTGTTTAACTTACCTTCTTACCCTGCTTTGTCTTTGATAAGAAGGAGAGAGAACAGATAATTAATCCTCTGTATGTGATATTTATCTGTGCTATGACACGAGCTGGGGTTTGGTTACATTTTCTGATTTTCACTGTGCTCCAAAATAGCAGGCTGCCCTTGGCTGTGCACACAGTTACAGAAATCAAGTGCACATGCAAATATTTATACTTTGGAAAGGTAGACCTGTTACTCCATCACTCTGCCTTGCTTTTTATCTTCCTGTTTTTTTCTTGTTTCCCTTCTGCTCTCCCCCTTTAGTCTTCGTCTGAGCAGATGACAGTTTTGACTGCTAATTGAAGTTATGTGGCTAAGCAGGGCCTCTTTATAACTGGTCTGTTTTCATTCTGCAACACCACTTGTACAGGAATTTCTTTATTCCCTAAAGGGAATAAATACGCAGAGGTGGTCAGGTGTGAGTTATGGCTTGCTACATGTAGCTAACAAGAGTTTTAATCTTTTATCCAAGTTTTGTCCAGTTTTTTTTGGTTTTGTTTTTTATTTTTTCTTCATATCAGAGAGTCATATAGGAGAGTCTTATGTTTAACCAGCTGAACCCAAAGAGTTGAGGGGTAAATCCTGCCTTTGAGTTAGCCTCAGGTGCTTGGAGTTGGATTGATCTCGGCTGTCTGTCATCATCTGAAAATTAGGTATTTAGTCCAAACTAGAGGTGCAGGTGCTTGCTGCTATCTAAAGGACGACAAAGGCTCCCGTAGCATGATTTATTCTCTTTTGTTGTAGCTAAGTTAGGAGATTTGCCTGTCTTTAGTGACTGTTAAGGAGTCTAGATTAATTTTTAGGTGGCTAAAATTTGAGAGGTAGTTTGTTTTGTTATGAAATTAGAGGGAGACCAAAGAGGAAGAAGGAACGTTTTGTGATCTAGCCTGTGAGCTTGCTTCATACCTGAGAGGTTTAAGGTAGGTTAGCATCGTGCTGAGTTCTGGGGTTGCTAGAAGCATGTGAACTCTTCCTGTGGCAAGTGCAAACTTGCAATTTGGGAGTTGCTAGTAAAATTCTTTTTCTCTAGGGTCTGTCGTACAGTGTTAAAAGATGATCATTTGACAACTCGGCAGCCTTTCCACCACATTGCACAAAAGAAGTTTCTTCCATCTGCAGTGTGGCATAATGCAGGTAAATAGTAGCTAAAATTTAACAGATGAGTGCATTGTGAGTTTTTGTGTCTTGTGATAATCATGAAAGCCTACTCTCCTTTCTGAAATTGGTGTGTAATAACATTGCCTGGGTGGTTTGTAATGAAGTGCTGGTGCATTTGGAGCTTGGGGATAAGATGTGGATGGCTCATCATGTGAATGATTATACATGTTTTTTTCTATCATTCAGCTGCCAAGACTTACAAGGGCAATATATTACTTGGGCTTTGCTGCATTTCTCTTTCTTCAATTTCTAGTTTAGTTTAAACATGGCTCTTGTAAAAGACTCTGTCCTGCTTCAGCTGCTGAGCTTTGTCAGATAAAGTTGCTGGCCACCTAGATAGAACCTAGCAAGGCTGGAAATGAAGGAATATTTTCTTTTTTTAATTTTCCTTCTCTTGAACATGCATCCATGTATGGTACACTAATGGGATTCTTCATTAGTATTATCTACAACTTGGTATTAACCCTGAAAAAGCAACATTTAAGGTGGAATTTGTTGTACCTCCCATTTTTTGGCAGGCTGGAGGCAAAAACTAAAAAGAAAGAGGAAAAAAAAAAAAAGGGTGAAACTTGCAATGCAGATAAACATTGTATCTTTGCAGCAGCTGCTGTCCAGTGTGGTAGCAGGAAGACAAAAAAAATCTGCAGGTGCTGTTACATGAAATTAGTCACCAATAGAAATTGTGTTTAGATTTTCTCGGGCAGAAGTTGCTTTTGAATTTAAATTTCAGAGAAGTCCAAACCTATCTTGTCCGGCACTATTTCAGTTCTAATCAATAGTCAGACTGATGAGTAGACTTTAGTATTGTACCTGCTCCTGCAGGTGTCCCACTGAAGGTGGCCCCTGTTTGGTGCCTTCCCTGACCTTGAGCAGGGGAGCAAGTGGGAATACACAGCGTTCTGCAGATCATTGGCAGAAACTATAGACATTGGCTGTAAATTCAGCCAGTGACCAACTACTGAATCATACATTTCAAATGGTTATTCACAGCTGTGCAAAGAACTTTCCAGGTTGATTAATGACTTGAACCTGCTCTTAGAAAGGCAGATCTCCAGCTGCAGGAAATCCTTTTCAAATAGACGTGAACACCTTTTTTGAGAGCTGGGTTGTGCTTTAAGTATTAGAGGTGATGAAAGAGCAATGTGTGATAACTGATAGTGACCTGTTGCTTCCAAAGAATGGGCACAGTGTACTCCATTTACACCATCCAAGTCCCCCACTGTTGGTTATTTGTAAACTGTGTTGGGCCGGATGTCACTTTGGATGCCAGCTGGATCTGGAAGGTGATCAGGGATGAAGCTAACTAGTTGCTTGTTCTGTTGGAATTATTATTCTCATTTTCATGCTAAGCACTTCCATGCTAAGAAATAAAATAAAATGCATTGTGTATGTTCCAGTTGGATGAATTGTTACCATGACAGATACGTGCAGCAACAATTTGGTATTTGTAGTGGAATTTGTCATCTAATACTGGAGAGTCATGAGCAAAATGGCAGTTCAGAGAAATTAAAATGTCAGCTTTTTTTTCCTGTTTTAAATCCCTCTGTTGCTTGTATTTTGAAGTTATGTGAACTTGTTTCTGAAGTATAATTGTAAATATTGGTTCCTGGATGTTTTTAGATTTTAAACGTGTTCTTTTCTTTCCTGACTGTTTGTATATATCATTGTGTCATTTGATGTGGGGTGAGTTAGAAAGAAGGAGAACTTAAAAGAAGATGGGAGACTGTCCCTAGCTGATGTTTAGCTTCTGTGGGACAACATGCATATGCTGTGTCTGCAGGAAAATACACTATTAAATGTACACCGTTAAACATAGAATATTAAATTTTAGTCAAGGTCACGTTTTTTTTTACACTCTTCTGTTGAAAACCAGACCTGTACCAGAACGGAGCGTATATTAAAACTATTCTTTTAAATAAACAAGCATTGAAATAGATTGTCTGGGGAAACCATGAAGCCCATTATCAAAGATACCCTGTACCATAAAGGAACCTTCAGTAAAAATTAGTCTTTTAAACATCTTTACCAGTGAATCGTAAATATTTTTATTTTGAGTTGTTTGGCCAGTTCAATTTCTGGAGGATAAGTAATAGCTTGTAGTAGCTTTTCACTCTGTGGAAAATATTATGAGCAGGGTGTGTTTCTGTGTAGCTGTTATTATACTTGGTTTTTATTGTGCTGAAAAATGACATAAAACCCAAACTCCATAAATCATGTCTATCTTCAAGAGTAGTTAGTAAAACTGATTATACTTTGGACAGGAAGTGATAATGCTGGAAGAGAGAGTTGACAGCATATGAGGGTCATAAAAAATCTAAACACAAGAGAAATTAAGGTGGCATCTCTTGGCCTTCAGTGAGGGTGGTGAGATCTGTGACTTTTCATTTAGCCTACTTAGGCATGATTACATTATTTTTCTTCTCTTTATTCTTTCTTAATTTCCAGTGAGAGGCCTGTTTATTCAAACTCAGGACACACCAAATCCAAATAGTTTGAAATTTATTCCAGGGAAGGAAGTGTTGGAATCCAGGACTATGGAGTTCTCCACACCAGCTGCAGCATTTTGCTCACCTTTAGCAAGGTATCATTAAAGACATCCTAATTTGTTTGAGGGGTCAGTATGGGCTGTGTGTCTGCAACTGGTGTTTTTATGGCTGCATCACAGCAAAATGCATCATGGTCTTGTTTATGCAACTAGATTGAGAGTTGTAAATATGAGTATTCTTGAACAGTTGCTGCATCTCCAGTGAGACCTTTGGTCCTGATTTTGAAAAATCATTGCCAGCAGAATACTCTTAATTCAAGCGGTTACTTGTAAGTCATGCAGCTTTTCAGAATTGGAAATAGCATAAAGAAGTAAATAGTCCCCAAATACTAGAAGTCAAATGTAGTAGCTTGCTTGCTTTGACAGATGTTGGTGCTAGCATGAACTTTAAAGCCAGAGAATTTTTCCTTCACAAAAGGTTTATGATGTTTTGATCAAAGGAAAGCCAGTTTGGGCCCATTCTTTCAGGCTGGATCTGTAACAGGTCCTGAGACTTGCAGTTTTCACTACTAAGATACACGATCCGGAGTAAGAGTAGCTGAGCAGATACAGGATCATCCTGGTACAGGATGGAACACCATCACAAGCCTCTCTGGAAATATTTAGAAGGATCCATTTTGCATGTGTGTCATTGCTTTCACTTTAGCCTTTGAAGAGAAACTGTGTCTGTGATGTGGGTGGGAGGGCTTTGATGTGAGGGTGAAATCCAGAAATGCTGCAGAAATCCCAGCTTCAGGCATCTTTTTGTATGTTGGAAGAATCATATGCAAATGTAGAAGCTGTTCCATGTGACATTCTCCCCAGAAATTGTAGGGTTGTCAAACATGCAGCTCTGACATTTCCAAAGGTTTCTTGCAGAGTTTTTTGAGAGCAAGCAGGATCTTTGCAAGCAAAGCTCTGCAGCTCCAAGTGATAAACACAATGTGAAAGGTTTTTGAGAGCATCAGAAGGTGTTGCTGGAGTGCTGAAGCTGCAGGATCTGATTCTGCCAAGGTGCATCAGGTTGCAGAATGCAACTGCCTGTCAGAAAGTGGCTTTTGTCATGTATCTGCAAACAGATGTTGTCATCAGAGAAGATGTATGTGCTAGAATGTGTACCCTGGCAAACAGCTTGTGTGTGTTGTGCAGATTAATGGCACATTTTATCTACCTTTATCACTAAAACCCAGGTTATGTGTTTTGTAAATGGAATACTGAATTATTTTAAAAGGGAATATTCATTTTCCAAAGTAGTAATAAAAGCTTTATGAAGGAGAGGGCAGAGAAATTATTTAATAGCTTGGTGCATTTGCATAATTTAATTTTGTAAGGAACCTTAAAATCCAGTTGGTTTAGTGATGTAAAAGCCCAATGCACATGTAACTGTTTCATGTGTGGAAATTCTTTCAAATGGGTGTTGTGAAATCTCTTCTGCCATTTTTCATCACACATACTTTTGTGAAAGGATTTCCAATTCTTTTGTTGCATTTTTTGTTTTTCAGTCTCTCAGGAGAATCTCTTTTCTTTTCCTCCCTCCCCCCCATTGCAAAAACACTCTTGCAGCCTCATGCTGTATTTAAATCCAAGTACTTCCTACTTATAATTATTTTTAATTGTTTTTTACTCTTCAGGAATAGCATCATTTATTTATTCTTTACATGATTTTGGGGAGGGTTTATTTAGCCATTTGTTGAAATTGGTCTTAATTTTCCCATTCCACTTTTTATGCTGAAAATATTGCCAAAAATATGCTGTTTTCTATCATCTAAGTTCTTGTGTTGCTTTGGACTGTGCTCATGAACCACTTGGTTTTTGAGTCTTCTGTGGGCCATCTAAGCAATTCAGTATGAATCCTGAGCCTTTACTAAATCTTTAGATTTTTCATGTGCTGTACAGTAATTGAAAATATTGATGATATCACAAAAATATCACAAAGTGAGTTGGTGTATCAGGGCCTTGTGGACTGGGCACTAATCCTTTTATTAATGGCAGCAGCATTGAAGGCAGTTTTTATTGAGCTCAATTGCTTTAAATACCTTGCTTTAATCTGTTTCCTTTTATTTGTAATAGTCCTACCTGAAACAATAGGTACCTACTAGTTTTGATGCTGATGAAATATGTTTTTATGTACAGAATATAATTTTGCCTGCAAAGATGAACTGGGGGAACTCTTTCAGACATCTTTCGGAAAAGTCTTGAATTTTGTAAATGTCTTTAAGATGGGGTCAGTTTAACCATTTATGTTGCTTCACAACAGCATCTCTGCCTCTGAGTAAGCTGTAGGTGAAGTAACTCAGTTTCTCTTAATGGTTCAGGTTTAGTGCTTATTTTTGCCTAGAAATGCATTTTTTCTGTGACAGATTAAATAAGTCTTTAGGAGTTTGCCTGAAACATGTGTGCATTTTTTGTTTTGTTTTTCAAACAGGCAATTATTCAGAATTGAAGGAGTGAAAAGTGTGTTTTTTGGACCAGACTTCATCACAATCACCAAGGTGAGCAGAACAGAGATTCAGATGTACTAAAAGATGAGCTAAGATTCAGCTGCCTGATAGATGACCACAGAGGATATCAAACCAGCCTCTTGACCATGCATAGTGGAAGTACTAGAGTCAATGTCCACGAGCAGCATGAAGGGAATTGCCTTTAATATAGAAGAAAAAAACCCTGCATTGTGGTGTGTGAAGAAGCACTGGGGTAGGTTGCCCAGAAAATTGTAGATTCTTTGATCTTGAAAATGGTCAGCACTGGACTGGACAAGGCCCTGTGCAATGCAACCTTGGAGGCTGGCTCTGTGTTGGGCAGGAAGGGGTGAGGTGATCTCCAGAGAACACTTACAAAGAACATGGTTGTGTGGCTGGGACAGACAGAGGGCGTTGCAGGCAGTGTTGTGTTTACCCAAGGTGTGAAGTTCATGTCAGCAGAGCTCAAGTATTGCCTGGTGTCCTGGTTTGAGTCAGGATAGAACTGATTTTGGGGTTTTTTTGTGATTTTTTTTTTTTTCAGTTAAGTTCTGTGTGGTTCTGCTCTTACTGTGTGAACAGCCCAGGACAGTACAGTGAATGATAATTTACAAACAATTAAACCTTTCTGGTGACTACTATCAGTTGAGTCTTGCTGAACTTTTTTTGGCAGAGCTGGACTTGATTAAACTATGAAATCAAATCCATGCAGCAAATGTGAGAGCCTGTTCTGATATTTTTAGTGTAAGAAGAATTTCTGTATAACTTATTAGGACATACATACCCTGTTTTTATTGATGTGGATTTTTTTCTTCTGATTCTCATAGGAGAGTGAAGAGCTGGATTGGAACTTACTGAAACCAGATATTTATGCAACTATAATGGATTTCTTTGCCTCAGGCTTACCTGTAGTTACTGATGAGGCACCCAGGACAGACACAGGTAAATCAAACTCTACAGGAAGAGGCCTGTTATCTGCCTTTAGGTTTAGATTTTCTGACATCCACAAGAGCCACCATTTGTCCCTCAGAAAAGTGTGTAAAACAATTTAAAGTGAAAACTGCCAAAATTAACACAGGAGAGAAGTTGCAGGACTGCTATGTCCTCAGGAGCACCCTTGCACTGCCTGAAGGAGTTGCTTACCCATGGATACGAAGGCTGCTTCTCATCTCCTGTAGTAGTAGGATTTTACGTGTACAGGAGCTGTGCTGAACTGTGTGTTTGGGCAGTGGGCACCACGTTCTGTGGTACTTTGTGTGTGTGAGATATTTTTGCAGGTGCTGAGGCTGTGTTCAGAAGGTTAAGGGGTGTTGCTGCCTATTGTTTTGTATGGGCACCTACAAAGGTTATTTCCCTCCTTGAATCAAAAAAGTGTGCCCAGGCTTAGTGTCTGTGTCTTAATGATAGGTTTATGGCCTTAAATGAGGAAGAAATACTAAGAAGTCTTCTCCGAACTTCAATAGAAAGTAATTGAGACTAACTTTTAACTCAAGGGCAGTATTTTGCCTTGTTTTTCTCACTTGAGCTTAAAACTGCATCCAAACCTCCTAACCCAGACATGTTCATAATTCTTCTCCTGTGGGATTTTTTTATTGTGCTAAACCTTTACTTCTGAGGATCCTGCCTTAATCCATGCATCCCTTTAGAGTGTTCCTTGTTTCTTCCTTTAAAAGGTGGTACAACTGTTGTCTGTCAAGGCCTTTGCCTGGTGAGAACTTTGAACCAATACTGGTTTTTGTCATTGAAAGCCTGACATGTGCAGAGGATTGTGCAGAAAAAGATACTGTGAATTAAGGCTTCTGCTCTCTGGTTTCAGACATCTCAGCAGTGTTTTTGTGCCATTTCATCCTGCCATCATGGATATACATTGTCATACATATACATTGGAGTTCTCTCCAAGGTCTGATTTGCACATTTTTCTTTTCCTAAGCTGCATCAGAAGAAGATGATGAAGTTGTACTGATGATTAAAGAGCTGCTGGACACAAGAATAAGGTAAATTGGGACATTTCTACTAAACGGAACGGGTTATTCTTGGGGTTTGGATTTATTTAGGGAGCAGTGCATTTTTCTTTGGATATGTGTGATTTCATGGTTCAGTATCTAGTGTGGGGGTTTAAAGTGCAAAACTGGCCAGACCTGAGAATCGTTTCCTCCAAGTGAAAAGTTTCTGTCTAGTTTTCCTGTGTCCTTTTGAAGTCCTTTAACTCCATAAACAGTCCCTATTGCTGAGTGATTTTGGAACAGTGTATATACAGGTCCATTTGATTTAACCTCCTTATTTTTAAACAGCAAAACCACCATAATCTCTGCCTTTAAATTTCTTTTTCCTCTGTTGTATTAGTGTCTGTCTTGATTATACTTGTCCTTCCCTTCCAAGTATTCCAACACAGTTGATAACGCTTGTATCATACTCTAAAGGAAAATTTAAATTTAAATAAGTGTGTTTCCCTCATTGTCTGGCCTTCTTTCTTTTGTAGTTTTATTGATATTTTAACACAGCTTGAATTTAGAAATGGCTGGTAACTAATGAAGTCTCAAGAGTGGCTGTGGATGATGTTGTTTACCTGAAATGTATTTTTATGCTCATTAGTTGCCTTTCAAAGTGAATTGAAAGGAATAAGCAACTTGGCATTTAAGATGCCAACAACATCTGATGTGTTTCTGAAGCTGTGGTATCTGATGGTGACATCTTCCCTGGCTCACAAATTACAGCAACCAGAAACTTGGGTGTGGGTGTGAAAATAATGGAATTCAGTTTAATTTTTCCAGAAGCTGGGATGAACTTGGGCTTTTTAATTTAATTTTTTTTTTAGATACTGACTTTTAAAAGTGATATTTAAAAATACCAATTTGGTTATCCCAGAGATTAATTTTCCTGTGAAAGGAAAGAGGTAGAAAGTGTGTAACTCAAGTATGCTGTTTTGTAAAGCCATGACAGAAAGTACCATTTGGGAGGCCCTTCTCTTCTATGTGGTTATTGAAGCTCCTTCTGGTGTATTAGTCCTTCATTTCCCAGTGGCCTTTTGTAATGGTCACAGAATTTCTGCCCATATTTCTGGGTTTCCCCACTTTTTTATTTATCTCTTTCTTTCCCTCTACCCCTTGGTGAACCAAGAAGCTGTTGATGAGAATATTAGCAGTAGTTATCTTAATTTTATAGCAGGATAGTTTACAGCAGCTATATATAAACCAGCTGTACATACAGAGCATTTATTGTTTAGTCAATCACAAATACGTGCAAAAAAGTTGTCAGAAGGTGCAGGATGGAGGGAACGTAGGTCTGAAAGGTCCTGTAGTGTGTTAAAAAAGTTACATTTCAAATAACAAAAATTGAATTTTTAGTCATGTTCTTTGGCTTTCTGGAATGGAGATGATTTGCTATGGTGAGTTGCTAATAAACATGTCAGATGTGTAGATTATTCTCCTAGGAGTGTAGTTCTTGAAAGGGTTATTTTGGAAATCAGCATAAAGAGCTTCTGTTAAGAGTAACTTGGTGGTTTTAACTTGGTCTGGAAAAATGTTGCTATGGGGATACAGTCACACTGCTGGGCATTTGTTGCTTGCAAAAGAGACCAGGCTGCATAAATGCTAATAGTGCTGGGATGTGATCTTACCAGATGCTGGTTTCTTCCCCGGATAGCAGTGTTAAGTTTTTTATATAGTTGGAGCTTTTTTCTGTCCTGTGTAAACTGTGGTGAACTGGATCTTTATGAAAGCACCTGAGGACTTCTTATCACTGTCCCTCCTCAGGTAATAGATGCACATGCATCATGTGGTAGGACACACACCTGTTACACTTGGCACACAACCCAGGCAATCATTGTTGCCTGCGGACAGGGCCTCAAGGCAAACTGGTGCTTCTTTGCAGGCTGAATGAAGCCCTGCTCTAAAGTGCTTACCCCAAGAATTTCAGTGGTTACTTCATGTGCTGCTCTATTCATTGCAGATCTGTTTTGCTTAATATCCTCTAGAAACCAAGAGCTGCCAATTGAGAGAGTCTAGCAAAGTATGGAAATCTGAACCAGGGCTGTAGGG